TCGGCCACAATTGCAGAAAGTTATGCTGCTGACAGTTTAAGTAACAAAAACGAAATAGCCAACAGGATTTTTTATAATGACACTTCAACTCCAGGTTCTAGTAGTACGTCGCATCATGCTGTTATAATGGATCAGTCAGATAATATTGAGCATCCGGTGACTGAAATGGGCGATCAAATAATGTTCAGAAAAATGTGACAATTAGTAAACGCGAGGGGAATAATTATCCAGATTTTATAAATGTTACTAAATGTAATATCTGTACAACTGCTATAAATATTCCTTCATAATAATTAATAAAATTTAATGTTCATCAAATATCTCTATTTATTTGTTCATAAAATATACATTTATAATTCGAAATCGCTTTTTTCCTAGGGAGGTAAGTTACCTCACTTACCTTCCGTTGTCCATAGCAGCTTCCACTTCTACGGTAAAATCCACTTACCTGTTTAAAAGCAACGTATTAATAGTCTATTTGCTATAGTGGGAGCAGATACAAATTATTTTGTATTATAAATTCGTACAATGTTGGTTGATTTAAAAACAATTGGCAACTCTGTTAGTGCAGGAATACAACTTAACATGCTAACTCCGGGTGCCCCGGTTTACGCCGCCTAGTGGAGGCGTTCACAAGAATGTAAGCGTATTTTGAAAAAGTAATTATAACTCAACTATTTATTTGATAAAAAAAAGAATTTCAGATTCGTATTCAGGGGATAAAAACGACACCCCACACAATGTGTACGTATATATTTATAAAAATAGTACTGTTTGAAGTTACTTTTGCTAACAATTTTTACAGGGCCGTCACGCCAGAATTGCTCCCATACTTTTCATCGTTATTGTTGGAGATAAAAAAAGTTAAGAATATAAATTGTAGAGACTTTTTAATTAAGTTTAGTAATTGTCTGACACTTATTCCGTAAAGACAATTGATTATAGCTGTTTTGAATTGATAACACTTGAAAATTGGGCTGGTGTAATGCTTTTATTTGCTACTTTACAACGTTTGCAAAAATACATGTATATTCTACAGTGGACTGCATAGAAAAATGATTTTATAGTATATCCTTTTTCTAGGGTGGACACTCCCTTTTTCATGTTCGTCCTCCCTTTTCATGCACTTATACACAGTTCGCGCCATCTGTTCGTCCACACACGAACCACAAGTAAAGGGTGCCACGCACTTCTGTTTTTTAACTAAAGAAGTCTCAACAATAGCTTTTCCGAGGTATAGGCCTAACATGTTTTTTGTTTTTATAGAACACTGTTGATCCGTAAACAATTTTAGAAACTGTCATGTTATGATACTTAGTTTTGCTTTCGAGCTTAACGGTTTTCGAAATTTTACATATTTTAATATAATTTTACGTATTATATATTATTACCTTAGAAATGATTAAAACAATTAAAAAACTAATAAGTAACAACATTAAACGAGGATGGCGAAATATAAAATAATAATATATAAATTTATTTAATGTTGTATAACATACTCGTTTTAAAAACAATTAATGATAAATACGTAATATTCCGAAGGGTGTTAAAGATAAGTAAGTATCATATACAGTACACCAGGAATCGCCACTACCAATATTTCGAAAAGTACTGATCCGATAAATCTGAAAATTTGACAACCTAGCAAAGGTAGTAGGGCCAATACAGCTAAAATATTTAAAAATGTATGTCACTTCCGGTTATACCAGAAGTCGACATTAACTTTCTTATTTTAAATGGAATACCTATATATTATTGCATTTTAGGATTCTACGTGAAATTTGAGAGTCATTTTATTAAATAATCCCTATACCCAGGAGTTATAGATTTTGAGATATTGATTTTTAAAGAAAAAAATTGACAGATGCAAGGATCCGCGGAAATGCTAGTAACTCTTTTCAGGAGAGTGGTATCAAATGGATTTTTGGTACCTACTTGTAAAGGGCATAGGTAACACTAAATTATGGTATACCAACAAATTAAAACATTTAATACTACGTGTTTCATTTTTGCTGTTACATTCTGATAACTTCAAACAGCCATAACGTTATTAACTTAAGTGAAGCATCCTGTATTTTTTTACTCTGTCGTATGCAGATTGAAATTGCCTTTCAAGCTATATGTATAAGCAATGTTAGGGTTACCGTTACTACTTTTAGAGATATTTGCAATTCTCTATTTTTTGAGCAGTTTTTCTCGTAGCAGACCTATTATCAAATAGGCCATGACCAAAAACACTCTAAAAACAATAATTAAAATAACTTGACAGTTGTCCCATTATATGAGTTTTTGTTAGTTTAGTATTAGTAAGGAGTTATGACTGAAAATGTAGCAAATAAACTTACTACAGCTATTTCCATATTTTCATCATAAACAATAGGTACATATATATTTTTTAATTCTGTATAAGTTTTACATAGCGTAAGCTTTTAAGATTGTCTACTAATTGCCTTCATGTATTTCGTGAAGGTCTTCTGCATACGACAGAGTAAAAAAATACAAGGTGTCCCATTTAAGTTAACACAGCTATAGTTGTTTGAAGTTATCAAAATATAACAGCAAAAATTAAACACCTATTATTTTTATTAGTATGATTAGTATTAAATATTTTAATTTGTTGGTATACCATAATTTAGTGTTATCTATGCCATTTACAGGTACCAAAAATCCACTTGATATCACGCTCCTGAAAAGAGTTACTAGAATCTCCGCTGACCCTTGTATCTGTCAAATTTTTTGTTTAAAAATTGATATCTCAGAATCTGTAACTCGTAGGCACAAGGAATATTTAATAAGGTGACCTATTTAAAATAAAAAAAAATAATATTTAAAATAAGAAAATTAATGTCGACTTCCGGTATAAACGGAAGCGCCATAAAGTTTTAAAGAGATATGGCCCTCCTTATCATTTGGATATTTTTTAAAATAACTTTCTTCATTAAGATAACGGAATGGAAATTGTAGGTAATAATTATACCATAAGGGTCTTTAACTACCATAAGTTTCATCAAAATCGGTTATACATAAGGATAGTTTTGTAACTACTCTTAACAGAAATTTTTCTAAATTTTTTTATTCTTTTGAATTATCAAGCAAATAATGTTAATTTTTAATGAATTATATATACTTGTTTGAAGAAAAAATGTCTACTTAGTTTTTTCGAATTTTGCGTAGCTTAGTCAGAAATAATTATTTTTTAAATAATGTATGGCTCAGAATAGTAACTTTTTTTCACATTTTCACATAGTAAGCATCTTTTATAGTAACAGTTTCATTGTTCATTGTAATGATACTAATGATTGTCACGTGCTATGATTTAAATTCTTATGTTTCTTTATTTTCTTAGTTGTGATGTTTGTGCTCAACTGTGCATTTCATTCGATTTTTTTACAACTATGAACCATCATGCTTATACTAACCGTGAATATACCGATATGCATTTTATTTATGGTTTCTGTAATAGAAATAATCTGGCGACTCAAAAAGAGTATTGGCATATTGACGGTAAAAGCATGATGGTTCATGGTTGTAAAAAAATCGAATGAAATGCGAAGTTGAGCACAAAAATCACAACTAAGAAAATAATAAAACATAACAATTTAAATCATAGCACGCAAAAGTGACAATTATTAGTATCATTACAATGAAACTGTCACTATAAAAGATGCCTGCTATGTGAAAATGTTAAAAAAAGTTACTGTTCTGAGACAAACACTATTTAAAAAATAATTATTTCTGACTAAACTACGCAGAATTCGAAAAAAAGTAGCTACATTTTTCTTCAAAAAAGTCCAATTCATTAAAAAATAATATTATTTGCTTGATAATTCAAAAGAATAAAAAAAAATCGAAAAATTTCAGAGTAGTTACAAAACTATCCCTATTTATAACCGATTTTGATGAAACTTATGGTAGTTAAAGACCCTTATGGCATGATTATTACCCACAATTTTCATTTTAAAATTTTTTTTCGTATACTGAACGTAAAGAATAATTAGAATAGTTAGTAATTCTGAAAAAGTCAATATTATTGGAATTTTATTTTAAACTAAAAAAAATATCATTGGAAGTTTAAAAAATCTGATTAAAAATTAAATTAATATTTTTGTACTTATTTATTTAAACCAAATATATAAAATAAATATGTAAACGAAACCAATAAAAAAAATTAAAAAATATCATAACTAAATAATTAAATGGTACCTGAGAAATTTATAAATAGCCAATATTCTTTAATAAAATTCTTGCACCAACTCATCTGATTGAAAGTTGCAAAAATCTAATTGAAAATTAAATTAACATTTTTGTACTTGTTTATTCAAACCAAATATATATAATAAATATGTATATAAACCAAACCAATAAAAAAAATTAAAATGCCATAACTAATAACTAAATAATAAAATAGTACATGAGAAATGTATAAATAGCCATTATTCTTTAATAAAATTCTTGCACCAACTCAGCTAATTCATCGAAAGGTATGAGAATCTGAGTGAGAAATTAAATGAATATTCTTAAAAATAAATTAATTAAAATAAACATGGCGATTACAAACTTTATATATTTCGAACCACACAAACTCTTACACAGCCGTATTCTTTGATTATCGTTTTTTTACACCAAAGAGATAAAAATCAGTGGAAGTTTTCATAAAAATTTAAATAAACATTAATTTCGATTAGTACCATATGACCGAGAGTATAATGTTATAGAGCTGAAAAGATTTCACTTGTATTCAAAAAATATATATCGCTTAAAAGTCGAACTCTCTAGTTCATTGACATAAACTATAAATATATAAAATGTAACAAAGTTGTGAGCCGCCATATGTTTTATTCATTAAAAATTATGATAATTATATAGATGAATGTTACATTCTCAGATCTAGATAATTTTTGATATACACCTTAATTTGAATATTCTTAACGGTTATCAATGTATTTTTTATAGATGATGTAAATGCAATAACCTACCTACTTAAACAACTAAATACTCACCTATACTGATATCCTTCATTATGCTGTTCAAAGTTATGTTTTAAAATGGGTATAACTGGTTTCTTAACATGTTCCCTGTATTGAATATCGTGGTGCTCCGGAACGTCAGTAGAACTTACTATTTTTATAACAAGTAAAGAGAGTATCTGAAGTATAATATAAAATTTAGTAAATAATATTAATATTTCGATATATATAAAACTTACTTGGTTAATTAAGAGTTTCATGACTGAATGGATTTAACACGTGTTATGCTTTCTTTCAAGACACTGATTCGTTTTATACATTATCCTCTTCCACAAAATTTCACGTTTGAAAAATTTCTTGAACCATATGTTGTTTAGAAATAAGATGCTAGTTTCCATTTAATAGCCGATGTTCACTCTTGACCGCTGTCACTTTTTATGTATCTAGGCAAATAATGTCATAAAAAACAAATATTTGATATAAAGTCTGCATTGACTGAAATTAGTGGCCCTATTAGTGATTATTTAAAAAATAATATATTCGTATACTATTTTTTAATATTTATGAGAGTAATAGATAATATAAGACATAACAAAATTTTAACACACAAATGTGTGTGCAGAAATTTAGAAAAAATATAAAATAATTATTAAAGTGCATGAATCCAAGAAACGTATAAGTAATATTTTTCATAACATAACGTTTTTGAGTATATAAATTATTAGGCACACCTATTATAAGTATTAAAATGCAAAAGACCAAAACTACGAGCATATTTTGTTGGCGCCAGAAGAGAATAAGTAACATACAACATATTTCGTTCTTGCATCTATAATCAGATAAGTGACTTTATTGATGGTTCGGTTTCTATTAGGTCCACATATTTGCACTATATAAAAAAGTACGTTTTAAAAAATGTATCCGAAATCTCATTTGTTTAAACTAAGGACACCTCTTTCATCAGAGTTTCCAATTGTGCTCTTTTTAAGGCCCTGTACACTGAAAAAAAGTATTTGGATCAAATGAGCAGATAGTTTTAAATGGAATTATTTGCCGTAAATGTTGTTTTATCCTATTCAAATCTAACTATATGAAATATTTGCTGTAATCTATAATTTTTCTTAGAATTTATATTATTTGTAAATATACAGGGTGTTTCAGAAAGACCTCCCATAAATACAGGAGGTGATAGTACGACAAAAAACAAGAATTTCTTGTCTTATGAACTATATGTCAATCTCCTCTTGTTTTCGAGATACAGAGCGATAAAATAAAAAATTTTAAATAGAATTTTTATGAAAATTTCCAAACGGTGCGAAATATTTTTATGAAATTTGGTATTCTCGGGTTTGTAAAGACGCCAAATACGATGGTCTAATTATTTTTTGGATATTTCATATAGGGCGCTAGTTATGTTACATTCTTATTACATTTTAAGTTCTAATTTTTTTCAGGTTGGGTTTTTTACCATTCGAGCTCCAATTTCTAATGTACAATTTTATTTTCTAAAAATAATGTACTTTTGTTAGAACGTCCTAATGTGGACGATTTTCGAGAAAAAATGCTTTTAATTGAACTCTTACAATATTACGGTGTATAAAACATATGACTTATGGCTTTTGTTAAAACTTATTGTTGGATGTCTCATAAACAACACATACAGGGTGTCCCAGTGTCGGCGTACAAAAATTTACCAGGGGGTAGACCAGACTAAAATAAGATTAAAATTCTTATAGAAATTTTTTCTACGATGCACTCTCACTGAGTTACAGGGTGTTGCTTAGAAAAAAATAATAACTTTCCGCAATAACTCAAAAACCCTATCATGGATTTAAGTAATTTTTGGGTGAAATGTACATCTATTAAAGGTCATTAAAACTATATGGTGCTTATTTCGATCTGAAGCCAGGGGCGGCCTAGACCAACTTGTCCTCAAGGTTATGTCTTCATAACGTTTGCATATCCTAGTTTTATGTAATTTAATTAAATTTTCCTGAATCGACAATCGATTCTAAACAAAAAATGTGCTCTTAAAACTATATGGTGCTTATTTCGATCTGAAGCCAGGGGCGGCCTAGATCAACTTGTCCTCAAGGTTATGTCTTCATAACGTTTGCATATCCTAGTTTTATGTAATTTAATTAAATTTTTCTGAATCGACAATCGATTCTAAAAAAAAAAATGTGCTCTTGTTGCATAGCTCAAAAATTAACCGTTTTCGAGTAAATTGGGTCCAAAGTATCGCCTGCATTAGTAGAAAAATGCATATAAAGATTTTATTTGTTGTTATCTAGTAGATACCTGCCACTATAAAAAAACAAAGTTGATTACAAGCGTACATGTCAAAATTAATCACAGTACTCGATGTTACGAGAAATTAAGTTTGCAAAACAACAAGATATTAAATATTATCAAATTTTCCAACAACGAATATGCCGATATGATATTTGTCTACGGTTTCTGTGTGGAAATTCATTGGTGGCCTCACGAGAGTATCTACGCAGGTTTCCAAACAGAAAGCAATCTTCACAGCACGTATTCCATCGAGTTTTCCAAACAGTCCGTTAGACCGGACCGGATTTGGAAGATGCAAACATTTTAGAAGAAAATGTAATAGCTGCTGTTGTTGACGATCCTTCCACCAATGTCTGAAGAATATCAACGAAAGTAGATATTCCACGAAGCAGCGTCTGGAGAATTTTAAACTGAGAAGAACTGCATCCATACCACCTACATAAAGTACCTACAAACTTTGCATTCTGGTGATTTCGAAAAACGGATACAATTTTGCAGGTGGTTGTTATATCGATATCGATATAACGAAACGATAATGACGAAAATTTCCAAAAGATATTGTGGAGCAATGAAACTATCTTTACGAGAAATGCTACAAAATAATTTAAAAATTTTTCATGTTTGATCCATTGAAAATCCGCATATGATATGACCCTCCGCGTTTCAAAGAAGATTCTCCATAAATGTCTGGGAGAAATCTTCAACGGAGTCATTCTGCCTCCTCAAATTATTGTAAACCGTTTGAATTCAGGTAGATACGCGGATTTTTTAGAAAATATTATTAATGGCGTACTAGATGACATTTCCTTAGTTTTGCGAAATCAAATGTACTACCAACAAGATGGAGCACCTACTCGTGACGGAAGATAGGTATCTGCGTGGTTCGATTTATATTTTTCAGAACGCTGGATTGGGAAAAATGGTCCTATTATGTGGCCTCCCAGGTTCCCTGACCTCAACACGCTTGATTTTTTTACTGGGGTCATATGAAGCAACTGGTGTATGCCAATCCCAGTAACACGAGAGACGATTTACTTAAAAAAATTAATGCAGCCGCCGAGCAAATTCAAGCAAGGGTTTATAATTCCTTAGTCAAACGATGTCGGGCATGCATTGAAGTAAATGGACAGCATTTCGAGTATTTATTGAAATAATTATTTTCTATTTTTATTTTTAATATTGTCATTTTGCTAACATAATTTCGTTTCTGTTACATAATTTTGAATTTTATTTTTAGTTCCCCTATGTAACCATATATTACATAATTCATAGAAAACTTGCTTAGTTTCTTCATATTCATTGAACCTCAGCTACATGTGAAACTGAGCTCAACGGTAAATAACTTTGTTTTTTATAATGACAGGTACCTACTAGATAACAAGAAATAAAATCTTCACATGCATTTTTGGTCTACGAACTAATCAGACCCGATTTACTCGAAAACGGTTCATTTCTGAGCTATGAAACAAGAGCCCATTTTTTGTTCAGAATCGATTGCAGATTCAGGAAAACGTAATCAAATTACATAAAACTAGGATATGTAAAAGTTATGAAGACATAACCTTGAGGACAAGTTGGTCTGGGCCGCCCCTGGATTCAGATCGAAATAAGCACTATATAGTTTTAATGGCCTTTAAAATATGTACACTTCACCAAATGTTACTTAAATCCCTGAAAGGATTTTAAGTTATTGCAGAAAGTTTTTATTTTTTTCTAAACAAGTGAGAGTGCATCGCAGAAAAATATTTTATAAGAATTTTAATCTTATTTTAGTCTGATCTACCCCCTGGTGAATTTTTATACGCTGACACTGGGACACCCTGTATATTCTTAGTAATATTTTAAACTTTAATTAATTTTATATCAAAATTTTAGTGACTAATTAGTCATTATTAACTAGACACTAAAAACCAGTAAAATTTTGATATAAAGGTAAATACATTAGCATACATTCTTCGTAATATTTTAAACTCTATTAAAATATTACGAAGAATGTATGCGTTGTTTATGAGACATCCATCAATAAGTTTTGACATAAACCTACTTTGAGAAAAGTCACTTATTTTATACACCGTATAATGTAAAAGTTCAATTAAAAGCCTTTTTTCCTCCACATTAGGAAGTTCTAAGAAGAGTACATTATTTTTAGAAAATAAAAATGTACAATAGAAATTGGAGCCCGAATGGTAAAAAACCTAACCTTAAAAAAGTTAGAACTTAAATTGTAATAGGACTGTAGCTTAACTAGTGCCCTCTATGAAATATCCAAAAAATAATTAGACCAGCGTATTTGGCGTCCTTAAAATCCCCGGAATACCAAATTTCATAAAAATATTTTGCACAGTTTGAAAATTTTTGTAAAAATTCTATTTAAAAATTTTCGTATCTCGAAAACAAGAGGGGATAGAATATAATTCATAAGACACTATATTATTTTTTCTTTTGTATTTCTCTTTTATTTTCGAACGATCTTGTAGAAGACTTCTTTTTCACATTTTTTCTTCTCTTCCTAACATCCAACTTTAATTAGTAAAAAACAAACAGCAGAATAAACACTACTAATTTATTGCAGCCTTTAGATGCGGTTTTATAAAACTCGATATTTTCCACTCAATATTTTCGCAAATAAAGAAATATTCAACATTATAAAAAAATGACCAAAAGTGAAATAAATAAGTTCCCTTTCGCTTCAATGAACGAAGACGTATATAGATCCAGTTTTCATCGTTCAAGGAAGTTATTATTTAAATATGTCACATTCCTTACTGGGTACCTTGTATATAGTATTTGTCACCTGTGAAAATATTTAAAAAATTAATGAAATGAACCCTTTGTGTTTTTTGTATTTTGAATTTATCTGCTTTTTTCAGTGTGGGAGTTTTGTTTATTTAATAAATTTTTAAAATTTTTTCACAGGTGGTAAAATAACCCAAAAGCTATGCCACAAATAAATAACTTCGGACAATATCTAGA